TGATGCAGTTGCCAATTCCAAGGGAGAAGCTGTGATGCCCTATCAGCTGTTCTCAACTGAGGCAAGGGTCTGCTGCTGGGAACTTGTACCCTCACACTGACCAGATATTGGACCAGAAAATGGCTGCCTCCAGGAATGGAATGTAAGTTTGGAAGTGGCATTTCTCTTTGGGCAAAAGCAGTTCCCAAGGAAAGACCTAAATATGATCTATCTATAGGCAAACATGCCTGGCAGCTAAGGAAGGGAGTATCTCAATCCTGAAGAGGAGGATCTCGGTGGCACACCATGGCATCTGTAATATGTGTACGCACAGCATTTAAAATGGGTCCATTAAGATCATCCTAGTAACAATGATATTGTCCAAATGACTAGCTATGATCTAAAAATGCTGTATTATTCTTAACATTAACAGAATAATGATAGTGTGAGCCTATAACCTGATATTGGGCATTGTCAACTAAAAGAAAAATTATCATAAAGTCAGTAAGCTTAAATAGTATTCTGATGATAACTGAAGTTCTGCCTGGTGATTATTTTCCTACATGTATGTTCAATCAAACATATATCCCTATTTATATCTATATAGACATAACTTTCGTTGGAGATTAAAGAGGCTGCATATAAATGCTTTATATGAGAAAACATAGAAATTCTACCTCAATTATCTCTTCCTCATTAATAACCACCCCCCTTCCCAAGATCTCTCCTTTCCAGTTAAGAAAAATCTCCATTCCAATTAAGAAAATACACATACCAGAATCTATTAATGATTTACCTACTCCAACCTCCCTTTGTGCATGTCATGTTTCATAATGGGATATCTTTTGCTTGCTTTCCCCCCCATCTTCTATTATCTCTGATTAACCTTGTCTCGTGTTTGTTTGTATGTTGGTAAAGGAAATAGAAATGCCTGATAGATTAAGACCTTATTTTCCATCAATGTGAGGCTTACCCACTGAAGAAAACTTTTGTTTCAATCCTTAAAGTGTTGCAAATCATTCTAAATGTAGAAATAGGATTTTCATCCTTAGTAATTCCCCTCATGCATTTACACTTTATTTTTGCAGATAATTAACTATTTAACAGAGATTGGAGAGGTAAAAAAAAAAAAACTGTTAGAATCACTGCCAAGTATAAATCAATCATAAATCAAAAGAAAGGCCCTTTGAAATTATAATGTCAGTCAACATGGAAATGGAATAGTTTGCCTTGAATTTTTTCAAGGATTTCTCTCTTAAGTAAAACAAAATATGCAGTACAAAATGGTCCCTGTTGACTGTAAACTTTCTAAAGACTCACTGGGCTGTAGGATGGGGGCTTAAACAGTTTACAGCAATCAAATTTGGCTGTGCTTTAAAATAACCAGCAATGTTAGCATAGGTTATTAGAATATAAAAGTGGAGTAGCCATTAGCCTAGAATTCTTGCTTTTTATAGAGTAATGCTTAAAAGTCAGATATCAAATGTCTGCTCTAACTTCTCAAATTTGGTATGAATTCAGCAGTCAACAAAAAAATCTCATGGCTTTGACAGTTGCCAAAATAGTGGAAATGTAAAAATATTATATGACTGATTAACAAGAACTAAACAGAGAGAGACACCATTCACTACTGACCAGTGGTCCTCAGGCCAGGGAACAGCAGCGTCAAGAACCTTTACTGACAGGGAAAGACCAGGGAGAATGATGGAAACAAGGAGAAAAAAAAAACAAGATGACTGCAAAAAAAATTAAAGGGCTAAACGGAGAACAGAAATAGGAAAAAAATGACAGATAACTAATGGGACAATTGATTAAAATCAAGAAGTGATGGCAGAGAACGAGTGAGACCATGATAAAGAAGAAAAATGAAGTACTAATCAGAAGAGCAAATCTCTTAGGAGGAAGGTGTAGCTCCACCTACTACATCAGCTAGTTGAGGCCTCTTATTAACTGTTGTAACGGCTAGTGGGCAAAACAATGAGCAGGAGTCAATAAAAATATAGTGAGACTGTATTCACTGTATTCTTTACTAAGATGGGAGGGAGTATGTTATACATTTTGAAAGTTTCCTTAAAACAAAAACAAATTTTTATTTTTTTTAATTTTTTTTATTATATTAATCACCATACATTACATCATTAGTTTTTGATGTAGTGTTCCATGATTCATTGTTTGTGCATAACACCCAGTGCTCCATGCAGTATACGCCCTCTCTAATACCCAACACCAGGCTAACCCATCCCCCCACCCCCATCCCCTCTAGAACCTTCATTTCTCAGAGTCCACAGTCTCTCATGGTTCATCTCCCCCTCCAATTTCCCCCCCTTCATTCTTCCCTTCCTGCTATCTTCTTTTTTTTTTAATTTTTTATTGTTATGTTTATCACCATACATTACATCATTAGTCTTTGATGTAGTGTTCCATGATTCATTATTTGCATATAACACCCAGTGCTCCATGCAGAGCATGCCCTCCTTAATTACCCATCACCAGGCTAACCCATCCCCCCAGCCCCCTCCCCTCTAGAACCCTCAGTTTGTTTCTCAGAGTCCATCATCTCTCATGGTTCGTCTCCCCCTCCGATTTCCCCCCTTCATTCTTCCCCTCCTGCTATCTTCTTCTTTTTTATTTGTTTCAGAGGTACAGGTCTGTGATTCAACAGTCTTACACAATTCACAGCGCTCACCATAGCAATACCCTCCCCAAAAACACCTTTTTAAATTTAAATTTTTGTTGAATGAATAAATAGTCAAATTTACCTGATTTATTTGGAAAACATCTTCAAGGTATTTCACTACATAGCAATCCGGGTAAATGAAATGATGTTATATAAAAAGAGTAACAATATATGTTCAGCTCCCAACATGGGCATTCTCCCCATACTTTTCTCTAAGGTTAGCCTCCTATTTTGATTTCCCCAATAGGCAATGAAATTCCCAGGACTATCCTCAAAACAGCATCAAGTAGCGACTTTTGCCTTCACAGACGGAGGGCAACACAAGGACTAACATGAATATGGAAAATACATAGTTCTCTATCGGTATTTAACTTTAAAATATATACATAAAGGAACCCCTGTGTTTGACAAGGATTCATTGTCACTTGCTATGCTCTTTGATTCACACCTGTTATAAAATTCACTTCCATTAACTTTTAGAGATAAATGTGTCTTCCACAACTTGAGATTCACTAGGAACTTAAATACCATTTTACTATTTCTGGCTTACCAAACTTTCCTCCCCTGCAATCAAAGCTAGAAAATGTGATGCTGGCAGGATATAACAGCAGTGTATGATACAAAGTACATATTCAAAGTATTAATTCTCTCTTCCCTATCAATTCTACACTTAGAATTACATGAGAATCCCATCTACAAAGATGACATTCTTTTTAAGATATAGAAGACATTGATTTTAATGACATTAATATGGAATAGAAAAATACAATGTTTAGAAAGCATACGCTATGTTGCATTGTTTTTAGTAAGCATGATTTGACTCATATCATATCTGTCTCTGGATAACAATAAGCCATATCATAGCACAGTCTGTCTTTTGAAATTGATTGTGTATATATGTGTGTGTGTGTGTGTGTGATGTGTATGACAGAGAGAGAGGGAGAGAGACATGAAGGAGAGGAAAAGAGATGGGGAGGGAGGGAGGGAGAGGAGAGAATCAAATCTCTCTAAGTCTTGAAGGAAGGATCCACGTCTCATTCTTCTCTGTAGCTTCCAGACCAGCTAGCCTGTGCCTAGCTCACTGAGCAATAACTGAGAAAATATGCTGAAAAAAATCACTGGATGGAAAATTCCTAATATGAGCTCACAGGGGGTAATTAGACTCTTTACTCTTAAAGTGGAGCACCTTTAAATTCTACATTACTTCTATATTAACAATTGCATTCACTTTTATAGACATTAATTTTCATTTCTGTAACTGTCCAGTTGTACAAACCCCCGAGACAGGAGAGTAACAGGTGGTTGTTTGTTTTGTTTTGTTTTCCCTCAGGATTTCTGCCAGGAAGCTCTAAATATTGAGTAGCTGCTCACAAGTAAGTAACTCTGGTAAACACTGATATGAATAAGGTCTATTTTATGTTTTGTGGTTATTATGACTTGGGTCATCAGCATCCTTGAGAGTTATCAATATTTACGTTGAGGTAACATGTAAAAATTGAAATCTTCCGGTGATCTTTCTAAATATAGATCTGATCATCTTCCTTTTGCCTACAAGATATTAAAATCTTTAACCCATTACACAAGGTCCTTGGTTTTCACTTTTATCCTCAGGTCCTTAAGAGCAGGATCCTAGTGTATTCATCTGTGTAAGGTACTGCCTAGCACAGACGCTGCTTTCTAAAAGGTATTCAATAAATATTTGTTGAATACAATGAATGAAATCTATGACAAATCAGTGCACTGTTAAATGTAACAGGCATAATATGTCATATCTATATTAAGCCATATTTATTGTTTAAGTATTAGAATTTTTAAACCATCTGACAGGGTTTGAGGTTGAGCATTTCACAGAACAATGACTCTATGAGGAAAAATAAAAGCTTCTACCATGTAGGAGGAAAAGTAAAAACCTGAGAGATAAGCTTATTTAAATGATAATGGGTGAGGACAAATAAAAGATGAATTAAAAAGAAAACAGAGATTTCTATTTATAAACTATATAGAAACAATACTTAAACCATGCATTCATTTGAAACCACAATAGATTAAAAATACTGTCTAATTTTTAAATGTCAAGTTCACAGATAAAATGCATGATCTAAAAACTCTAATCAAGCTAATGTCTCAGGAACTATATTAAAACACACTTTAAATAGCAAAATAGAACCCAGATTAACACTCAGTAAAATAATTTTAAGATATATGTAAAGACTGTACATAATAGAATTTTAGAAATTAATATAAATCATCCTAAATTCTAGATAATTAAACATGTTTTAAATGTCTTTGTGTTGAAACATTTTATAAATACACTACAAGTAAAGCATTTTTAAAAAAGTCATACCTGCAAAAGAGTTGTTCTATGGAGCTTCAGTGCCCCCTTCTGGTGAATTTTAGCAAAGCAACCCAAACAATAATCTTCTCCACATTCAAGGCATATCTTAAAAGACATTAAAATATCACAGTCTTTAATAATATGACTTTGAGAAAACATTTGCATAAAGAAGTCATCGTTCTCATCTTTATTTCTCCATTTACATGCCATATGTTATCAGAATTGAGAAGCCCAAGGAAATTGGAACAATTTGACCCAAAAAACTAACTTGTAAACACTAATTACTCTCATATCAAAATAAATTTAATAGCTTAAAGAAAGTAGCTTTTAGATATATATGTGTTAGATGCATATATGTATCTACAATTCCGAATAAATCATAAAAAACCAGCAACTTCAGACCAAACTTCTTGACCTGGTAAAAACTAAGCAGCATTGGGCGCCTGGGTGGCTCAGTCGTTAAGCGTCTGCCTTCGGCTCAGGTCGTGATCCTAGGGTCCTGGGATCGAGCCCCGTGTCGGGCTCCCTGCTCTGCGGGAAACCTGCTTCTCCCTCTCCTGCTCCCCCTGCTTGTGTTCCCTCTCTCGCTGTGTCCCTCTCTGTCAAATAAATAAATAAAATATTTAAAAAAAAAAACAAAACAAAAAACTAAGCAGCATTATCTCTGGGTCAAAACTACTTCATTTTTATGAGTTCTTTAATTTTTCTCTATTAATTTACATGGCACAATGCATATACTATTTGTCTCCAAAAATCCCCACTTCTTTCGCTGGCACTAATTCAGTGGTGATTCTCAAAATATGGTGTGAGAATTATTCTTAGAAGATTCCTCAAAGGAAAGAAAGTATAAGATAAAGAACTGGATGGAACCACATCAACATGTGAGCAATTTTCATGACTGGTGAAATGATTATGGACAAGTTTGTATTTATCTTTCAAATTCCCTATGGTGTTAAAATGCAATTTTTTTTTAAATCTGTGGATAAATTGACGGGATATACCTGTACCTATGATGGCACCAAGCAAGACTGAAAGTAAAAAAGAAAAAGTGGAATTTTTACTGCAAGTGAAATTACTACATGCAGTTGTACAGCCACTTTAACATCCTTTACAACATGAAAAAAAGCAGCCCAAATGGCTAAGACCTCTAATTTTCTTGAGTTTGGCCCAGGTTCAGAACACCAGCAGCACAAATAAGGAAGTGCGGGGTCTGGAGAGATGACGTCAGAAAGTCTGTGTCACAGAGCCCACATTCCCTTTGATCCTTTTTCATTTCCTCTCCCTCCACTTCGCATGCCCACCACCATTCTTCCCCTCCTTCCTCTCCCCTCCTGTCAAGGAATCCTATGCAGAAAGCAGCTGGGGCAGACTGGGAAGAGGTTGACCAAGCTCTTCTACCCTACACTGGGGAGTGACTGACTGAAATGTGCGATGCAGTGACGAATCCCAAACGGCACTGTGCATATGAATCACCTGGAATTGTGTTACAATGAAGACTGATTCAGGAAGTTCAGAATGGAGACCTAGATCCTGCACTCTAACAAGTTCCCAGGTAACGTCCACACAGCTGCTGGTGTGCAGACCACACACCAAGTAACAGGCACCAGAATGTATAGGGTATAGAAAAGTAGAGTGAACGCTTATTAAAAACCCAACAGGAGTCCATTGATTTTTAAAAATTGTATTATAAGTCTCCATGTGATGACAGTTGCCTGCAATAATGTGGCCAGGTTTATTAAATATAAGATGATTAGGACACCGACAACAACTACCAAAGGTAAAAAGAGTAAGACATTTTATATAACTAATGAAACTAAAAAGAAAGGCTGGAATCACATAACAATAACAATATCCACAACATTTACCGAACACTTAATCACTGTTCTAAGGGCTTCTCATCACTGAATCCTCACAACAACCCTGTAAGATTAACATGATCATTGTACATGCATTGCAAAGAGGAAGTAACAAAGGAACATAATGATTGGGAATGTGCCCAGTCACACAGCTAATGGAGCCAGGATTTTAATCCCACAGTCTGGCTCAAAGCTCAAGCTCTAGCCCATGACCCAAATTACTAAAAATCACATTGACCATTAATTACAGCACTAATCATTTATTGAAAAACCTTGATAAAATCTACAGTAAGATAAAACCCAATGTGTCAAATGACTGCATGGGAGCTATTTATCAAAATCCAAATGTATTTTTTTCAAATGTGATTAGCTATACAGAACTAGATTTTTTGTTTAAGTGAAAGAAAAATAAACACTGTCCCTAATATCAGAAGTAGTCCTACCCTTTCAACTCATGTTTCAAGAACAGTCTCTTACAGAAATGATGATTAAAACATTATCTAGATCTATAATTTTTAAGTGCACAAATACAAAGTTATAATTTCACATATATACATGGCAGTATATTTCAAAATGTATTCTGCATAATTTTTATTTAACATATCTGCTAATATTTTAATAAATTTCTCAGACATATTTGGCACTGTCTTTACAATGTAATAGAGAAGACTGAAAATTAGTTTGAACATCGAATTCTAAGCCAAGTATTTGTTAACAACAGATTTTTAAGGAAAGTAGCCAAACGGATGTTGTAGACTGGAAGATCAAAGCTGGAATTGCAGAGTAAGCTTATATATTTTGTTATACACGCATATTTGGATTTAAATTGGGTTAAAATGACCGCCAACTGGAAAATCTTTTTAGGCAGTTTGTATAACTGGCAGAAACGTACTAAAAATGTAGATAAGGACTCCATTCCACCACAGATGCTTCTTCAATGATGGAATACCCAAGTGCAGTTTTAGCAAATATCTTTTTAATTTGATCAAGCCTAGATCAGTGGTGCTAAGTCTTTAGAATCCCTTTGAGTTCAATTAAATTATCTACATTTGCCAAATTAACATGTAATTTTTAACAATTCATTTCACTTTTGCCATGTACAAACAGCCTAAAGCTACCGGAGTTTCTTTTAAAAATAAGGAATTTGGAGATTTGGGGTTTTATTTTTACCATCAATGTATGTGAATGCATCAGGAGATATAAAAATATGCCAACAACAAAACACACAATTTACTGTCTCCTCTCCATGTGCCAGGCACAATGCTAACTATTTCATATGCATTAACCATTATTCTCAATAACTCTGAGGTATAGACTACCATTACCTATATTATCCTATTGTTAACAAATGAGAAAACAGAAATACAGAGGAATTAAACCACTTGCTAAAGGTCACATAGCTAATAAAAGGTAAAGTCAAGATTCAAACCTCCAAAATGCAAAGTACCCCCTACCTCCCATATACAGTTTACCCTGATGAAGGCCCTATCATACCATATAAGAAGGTTTACTCTCACTACATAACAAACATTACCATCTAGAATGATGGATGCTGAGAATACGAGATAACCTTAAGTTTACCATCACCGTGGTCTATTTCATTAGATGTGCCTAACTTGAATTTTTAAATAACTTACCATGGTACTTGACAAATATCACGGGACATTACTTTCATTTCAAATCAAACAACATACTTTCTTAAAATCTTAGCAAAATTCTTTAAGAATGTGTAGGGTCTAAGTCCTGGCTTCTATTTCTAACAGTTTTCAGGCAAATCAGCCTTTTAACCACTGCACACATCATCATTCTTATCTGCTTTCCAGACGAGGCATGTGCCATTTATCTTGTCTGGGATGTCCTCTTCTTGCTTTTCCTTCTCTTTGGAAAAACAGATCCTTTATTTTCAGGTCAAGTTTATCTACCTACGTATGCCATATTGTTCAAATTTCATGGCCTTTAAACAGTGCTCAACAAGGAACAGGATTCGCAAGAAATATTGACAGCTCCTACATAAATACTTTGTTCAGATCATGAACAGTGGACCTCAACAATTCAATTCAGCCAGTAAGTACCTTTTAGCTTTCATACTTCCAACTTCAGGAATATTAACATTGTTTGTATTTTTTTAAAGATTTCTGGATAGGTATAATTTGTGAAGATTTCTTAAATTATTGTCCATCATTACATCAAATAAGAAAATAGCGTGATGTAATAATAAGAGCATTGTACCAAGAGCCAGGGTTTTATATTTAATATTGCTATCAGCTCTTTATTAGACTTACAGTATTCTAACTCTCTTAGACCAGTGAAAACTGGCATGAAATAAGGACAGTAATAGAGTCTCAAATCAGAAATGATGGTGGCCAAATTCTCTGAAACTAAAAAATATCATTATAGTAATCTACAAATATTAGTTATAATCATTAAATTCTTTGGGGGAAACTGCGTGTCAAGTGTGTGTAATATTTTAAATTATATCAGATATTGGAGAACTTTTAATACTGACTGAAAGCAAGATATATCTGAAGTCTTTATTACAGTAAAAAAAATGCATTCATTCAGTAAATATTTGTTGAGTGCCTACTAAATTACAGGCATAATTCTAGGTGGTGGGCATACAACAGTGAACAAAAGAGATTTACATAGGTAAGTGGAAAATAAACACATAAATACATTTTAAGGGGTAATAAATGCATTGTGGTTGCATGGAGCAGCTCCAAAAAATTCAGGGCTACTCAGCTGTTGCTTGTTTACAAAGGGCTGCAGGGGCAGGGAACATCTGAATTGACCTTTATTCTGAGGAGACTGTGCAAGGGAGAAAATATGTTGGAGAGATACTAAAGGTTCAATTTTGAACATGTTAAGTTAGTGATTATTGTTAGACATCCAAGTAGAGGTGTTGAGTAGGCAGTCTGAGTTGGAAAAGTTCAGGGGAAGGAGATGAGTAAGAGATGTAAATTTGGGAACCATCCATGTAGCTATGGTCTTTAAAGCTGAGAGAGTAGACAAAATTACCTATCAAGAGTAAGTAGATGGACTAGAGAAGGGGGTTAAGGACTAAGCCCTGTGACAGTCGAACATTCAGGGGTCTAGAATACAGAAAACCAACAAAGACTGAGAAGGGACAGCTAGCAAAGTAAAATGAAACCAAGAGAGGATCATGTCCTAGAGGAAGCCAAGTGAAGAGTCACAAAAGAGAAGAATACTGTATCAAATATTACTGATAGACTAAGATAAGAACTTAGAATTGGCCACTGTATTTAAGAATATGAATGTCACCGGTGACCTTGATAGGAGCAGTTGCTGGACATAGACCCAATCCTGAATGGAGAGGGTTCAAAAGAGAATGGGAATTTAGCAATTCTACTTCTGGGTCTATACTCAAAAGAACTGAAAGTAGAAACCTGGACACATATTTATACCCACGTTCATTGCAGCATTATTCACAATAGTCAAAAGGTGGAAACAACCCAAGTATCCACTGATGGATGAACGAATGAACAAAATGTGGAATATACATGCAATGAAATATTATTTGGCCTTAAGAAGGAAGGAAATTCTGACACATACTACCATACAGATGAACCCCGAAGACATTAAGTAAAATAATCCAGGCACAAAAGGACAAATACTGTACCCTCCACTTATATGAGGCACCTAGAATAGTCAAATTCATAGAGACAGAAAGTAGAATGAGAAAGTAAAATGATGGTTGCCAGGGGCTGACAGGAAGGGGGGAATGCGAATTATTGTTCAATTAGTACAGTTTCAGTTCTGTAAGATGGGAAGAGTTTTGTGGATGGATGGTGGTGATGGCATCACAACAACGTGAATGTACTTAACACCACTGAACTGTACTCTCAAAATGGCTAAAATGGTAACTTTTAAATTATGGTGTATTTTGCCATTTTTTTTTTAAAGTTCATGAAATCAGCAACAAAGAAAAGTTAGAAAACTGTTGGAAACCATTTTGGGGCTCTTTTTTTTTTCAATTTCACTTCAAAACTTTTTTTTAAGGTTTTATTTATTTATTTGACAGAGAGAAACACAGCTACAGAGTGGAGGAGTAGAGGGGGAGTGGAGAGGGAGAAGCAGGCCTCCCGCGGAGCTGGGAGCCCGATGCGGGGCTCGATCCCAGGATGCTGGGATCATGACCTGAGCCGAAGGCAGACGCTTAACGACTGAGCCACCCAGGCACCCCTCACTTCATAACTTTTAAGGAAAAAAAAATAAACATCATTTGAGGAAAAAAAAAAGACGTGCACATAAATGTCCATGGCAGCCTTAAACACAGTAGTAAAAAACTGGAAACAATCCAACTGTCATTCAATACGTCAATGAATAAACAGATTGTGGTATATTACACAATGGATTACTACTCAGTAATTCAAATGAACAAACTATGACAAAATGTAATAACATGGGTGAATCTCCACGTGGAACAAAAGAAGGCTTACACAGAAAAATATATAAACTATCATTCCGTTTACATAAAGTTCAAGAATAGGCACCACTAAATGTATGGTAATAAACATCAGAACAGTAGTTGGCTTTGTAGTGGAAATGAATTGGAAAAGGCACAAGAGAACTTTCAGAAGTATTCTATTATATTGATGGGGCTGTATACATTTGTCAAAAGGCATCTAATTGTACATTTAAGGTCTCTCTTTCACAGTAAGTACATTATACCTCAGTAAAAAAGAGAGAGAGAGAACAGGAAGTGAGAATATGATGAGAGCAAGTGTAGATAACTCTAGAAGTTTTATTAACAAGGGCCAGAGGGAGATGCAGTGGTCACAGAAGAACTTTTGGTGTAGTTTTGATTTGGAAAGTACTGCAGCATGTTTGTGTGCTGACAGGCATGATCCAAGAGCAAAAGGTAGGTGATATCCTTAAACTGGAATGAGAGGGTAAGATGCAGTGCATTGAACAGAGTGGCATGCACACTTCACCTTTAGAACGGCAGCGAAGGAAAAGTATCTGGCTCCCAAAGCAGGTCAAGTTGCGAGAGTGAGGCCATGTGAACATTATGTTCTAGTATCTTTTTATAGTGCACATACCAGCACAGCAGCTTGGTTCTCACACTGTCCACAAACCTTCCCTTTTATCTTGGATTTTTCACTTTCAGAAGGATTGGCCATCTTATAATTAAGTGGTGGTTTCACTGGCTCTTGAAGGAAAAAAAAATGTCAGGCCAATCACATTAAAATATAATGTTCAGTTTTCTGATAAAGTAATGAACTTATGCACATTTCTAAATTCTCAAAGAGTATTTAAATATTAATTGCCCAGTAAGAATGGTGTACAGCCAAGTCTACTCTTCCCAGTAAACTGTGGAGGCCACAGTCCCCCTCGCATCCCCTTGTGACCTCAGGGCCCACATACCTGCCCACACCCATTCTGCTTAAAACTCACTTGAATTGGACAAGTGAAATTACAGAATGTCAAAAACTACACTCTTGATAGAATCCCTACGGCATTCTGTCCCATCTCCAGATCAAACTAAATGAAGCTCACAGAGAACCATCTTCTATAATAAATGTTATATAGATTTCTAGAATTTGTTCTACCAAATTATCTTTTCCATTCAAATTAAATGTACTTATCCTCTATAAAAAATTTATTTCTTTTGGAATTACTGTGAATTCAAAATTGATTCTTGGGTTTTGCTATTGTGAAATAATTTATTAAAATATAAAGCCATTTTCAATATTCTTTTAGATTGCTAGAGTGAAATTTTCAGTATATAATTTTATATGGCTCAATTATCTTCCTGGTTAAAAGGTTATATAAATAGAGTTTACAGAACAGTACTATCAAAGTCCTCACTTTTGAAAACGTTATTATTATATTCATATTTTAAGTTAACATTTTTTCACATAAAATAAGGCTGCCCCCCGAAAATAAATAAAATGAATTTGAATATCAAAAGTCTTTTCAGAGTCATCATTTGGGGGTTTAGAATCTTTATACTGCATGAATAATTCGAACACTTCAATTTTCTATGAAATTCAAATGAAAAAGAAAACAAGTTATATCTTTAGCATCTAATAACACAGCGGTAAACTGTTTACCTTGAAGTTGCTCCTTCAGTAATTTTAATTTCACTTTTCCAGCAGAAAGCTGTATTAATGAAATAGATATTATTTGTCAGGTATACAGTCTCTTATTCAAAGAAAGTTTAAGTTACTAACAAAAATGGTAGAGAGCCATAACGTTTCAGTGCATCTTGAGCAAAACAAACATTTCGAGAGAATAATATAAAATTAATAGAAAATCATGATTAAAGCATATATAGAACTTTTAAGTAAGAGAAAATACCAAAAAAAAAAATCTGGAGACATCTAAACCACTTTTAGAAACATGCCATAAATTATGTTTTGAACAAAAATAATTATATATCATCATGAAATTATTTTAGGAAAGCACTAGTATTCAAATACAGTAAAGGCTCAGTAAGCCTTTTCTATCTCTGATCTTTCTGAGACACACAAAGTCTAATATTTGTGTAGACTAAATCTAAACTGAATTCTGACTGAGCCACTGTGCTTACATAACTGTAGAAGCCAATATTACCTTATTTGTCTAATTTGGAGAACCACATGTTTAAGCATTATAGGTTTAGCCTTCAATATATTAGCTGTGATCCCTGACTTTCTGAAGTTATAGCCAAAATATTGAGTAAATAAGCTTCGCTGTTAGGTATTTCAAATAGTCACTTAAAATCCTTGGATCTTAAGATTTTAAGACATAAAACAGATTCACCAACTGTACATACTTGCCTTGGTCTTATTAAAACCAACATTCAAAGTACACAAACGAGCATGTAGGAATGGTTCACATTTATACAGACCCTGTCAATTCATGCCTAATTTTCAATTTGCAATCTGCATGCTCAATTGCCCAATTTGTACATGAGAATATGAGAACAACATTTGCCTCTATGTCGACGGCTGTACCAACCGCAGTCATCTTTGAAAATTTAGGCATAATTATTCTCAGTGAATCTAGTGGTTTTGCTTCAAAAGGGCATTTTTTGTTCACATTCTTTGAGTAGCTGTTCAGATGCTATGTACCAAACACAGCAGAAAAGAAAACAGGATTGAAATAATCAATTTTTATGTGAATCACACTTTTATTTTTAAACTGAAAATGTTATACAAGTTACAGATAATTTAATCTCATTTTTTTCATAATGAAATTATCCAATATTATTACCTTAATGATACATCTGAATTGCAACATGATCAATGTGGTTATAGGCTAGCTGGGCAGGATGGCAATGCCAAAGCAAATTGAACCCATTATTAGGGAAATTTTATAATTTGCTTTTATTATCGTAAATATTTTTCAGCTCTATAAATATGGCCATATTTACTTCAAATGATTCAAACTGCATAAAAATATTTCAGTGATGGGTGCCTGGGTGGCTCAGTTGGTTAAGCGACTGCCTTCGGCTCAGGTCATGATCCTGGAGTCCTGGGATCAAGTCCCGCATCGGGCTCCCTGCTCAGCAGGGAGTCTGCTTCTCCCTCTGACCCTCTTCCCTCTCGTGCTCTCTCTCATTCTCTCTCTCTCAAATAAATAAATAAAATCTTTAAAAAAAAATATATTTCAGTGAACAAACTGCTAGCTGCTATTTTTAGGCAGATAGAATTTCCTCCTAAATCTGATTTTCATCTGTTTGGTAAAGAGTTGAAGGTCAGGTAGGGTTGGACCATACACACATCACACACACACATACATGTATATATGTATATGGATATATGTGTATATCCAAAACATCAGGAATTTGATATCCGGAAGCCTATGCCTTATTAACCTACTTCAGTATCAGAGGATGCTGAAGAGGTGCCATTAGGGGTCAGGGAAGCTTAGTGGCTGTACCATACAGACACATCACCTGGGCCATCGGAGTCAGACTATGCTGTCATCAGCCTCCTTGGCATTGACAAATGCCTCCAAACTCCCACCAATGCCCTAATCTGCCATGCTGGGCCCACACTCCTCCCATTAGCCACCTTTCCAAATATTCTTATTCTTAATCCAATTAGCTACATAACCTTTGCCATTTTCTACTGCTTGTATCCTGGTTCCCTGCTAGTCCATAGAGTCCTTATTAAATCGTCATTTATCCCATGCCTTAAACCTTTCCTAAAAATACCTCTTGCAAAAGTTCACATTAACTGGACCCACCTTTTCTCAGACACAACCTTTTCCAGAGAACTCTCCAGAGGAACTAGCTCCATTTCTACTCCCTTGCACTCACCAGGAGAGAAGAAAATTTTTCTCCCCGTTCGCTCCTCAGTGTTGCTTCCAGAATATTGCTCTGATCTCATCGTTCAGCAAAGATGCCTCTACTGAAGGTCCTCACCATCCACTGACCGCCTTTATCAATATTCAGGATCCTCTTCCACCTGAACTATAGCAATCTGCTCAGTATTTCTCTCCACCACAGTACTGGGTGATGATCGTGGCGATTGCAATGTCCATGTTCACCTGACACCCTGATGCTGAAAACCCTCCAACATGCTGACTACTATGAACATCTGAGTGCCTCTTCAGCCACCTGACCATTATGACGAAACCTTAAACCTAAGCAGCAACCTGAATGGCCACACCTTCAAAAGCCCAGACTCAGAGCTTCTCAGTGTTAACCATGATCACCTTACCTCCTTCCTCTTAGACCTCTACCTCTATCTTCCTACCATTGTGATGAAATAATCCTGACTGGGTCCCCTACAAATCCATGCTCCCATGGCCCTTCAGCAGTCTACTTTTTCATTTCATGCTAAAGCTCAATCATGACTCCCACAGTGGCTACTTCAAACTTTCTCCATTCCAAAAGACTCACATTCACCCCATTTTGCCTCCTTATTGTGAGCAGATGAGCCTGCCTTCAAATTTTCTACGAATGTTGAGGTCTTCCCATTAAAATCTTTCCACAGCTTTCTGCCTCACCTCCTGTCAAATGCAACCTCTAAAATTTTACCTTTACTGCCACTTGTTTTCTCTTCCATCTTTCTTATCAATGTGTCTTCCTTCCATTGGTCAAGCCCTTCTTAAGGATCCATCTCTTCAAAGACTACACCCCAGCAACTGGCATCTCTCTCATTGGCATCTTCTATCTTTCCTCCATTAGTGAGTCCATCCCTCAGCTACAAACTGGCTCACGTTTCTGAGTCTAATAAACAATATACAGTTGACTCTTGAATAATATGGGGGTTGGGGCACCGATTTTGACCCTGAAAAACTTAACTACTGATAGCCTACTGTTGACTGGAAGTCTTACAAATAATATAAACAGTTGATTAACACATATTTTGTATGTTATATGTCTTATATGCTGTATTCTTACAATAAAGTAAGCTAGGGAAAATAAAATGGTATTAAGAAAGTCATAAGAAAGAAAAAAATACATTTATAGTACATACATTTATTGAAAAAAAATCTGCATATTAAGTGGACCTGAACAGTTCAAATCTGTGTTTTTCAAGGGTCAACAGTAATAAAGTCTTTCCTTGATCCTGTTAAATCCTTGAGAGGTCACCTACCGTTCTCATGCTCCCTGTGACATTAGACTTTACTCACCGCCACCCACCTTTCTTTCTGTAACCACTTTATAATATTTTCTCATCTAACATCAAATTAAATTCAGTGTTTTTTTAAAAAAATTCTCATTCTCCACAAATTTTTTAATGTGATTTTCAGCCAATGTTACAATTGGTTTCACACGTAAAATCTTAACATTGTTTAAAACTCTATATAAGGTAATAAGCAAGTATTGTTTTGTATGTTTACAAATATGGTAACAGAAGCTCAGAAAAGTTAAGTGACTTGCCTAAAATCACAGAGGTAATGAAATGAGTCAGGATTTTAATCAATATAGACTTAACATAAGGTTTCTTGATCTTGATACCATTGACATTTTAAGCCAAATAATTCTTTGGTGGGGAGGCTGTCCAGTATGTTATAGGATGCACAGCAGAATTCCTGGCCTGTAGCCACTATCTATCATTAACCAAAACCCAAAACCCTCTTGGTGGTGATAACTAAAAATGTCTCCAGACATTGCCAAATGTCTCTTGGGGGGGCAAAACTAACCCCTGTTGAGAAACATTGGTCTAAAATCATAGTCAAAACACCTTCGCCTTTACTTTCGTTTTCTACGAAATTACATTACTTTGATTCTACAGCTACCATTCTTCCTCTTCTCAGGCTCCCTTTACTGAAGAGCTGGCAAATCACCTGAGAACCAGCTTGAAAGCCTGCATTCCAAATCCTGGCCCTGATGCTTGACCTTGAGCAAGTGAACTTCTCTGATGTTAAATTACTTCATCTGTGGGAATTGGAAAAATAACAACTGTCTCTTAAGAGTGATATAATAAGCACTTAATGAGAAAAAAACAGGAAAAGCAGCTAAACTGTTGACTGGTATAAAATAGATAGTGATTATCAATATTAAAGTTCTCTTTTACCTCCATATTCCTTGAGCTTTATCCCTCACACCTGCCCTTTCTGAGCTTTATCCTTTATACCTTTCTTCCCCTTTTTATAAATTCTTAGGAAGCACATTTACTCTCTTGGCTTCAACGAACACATAAGAAGTCAAACAAAACTCTAAATCTTCAAAATTTGCTAGGTAGAACTTAAATGTGAAAGGCAAGGCAAGGCAAGGCAAGGCAGGCAGGCAGAAAGAAAGAGAAGAAAGAGAAGAAAGAGAAGAAAGAGAAGAAAGAGAGAAAGAGAGAGAAAGAAAGAAAGAAAGAAGAAAGAGAGAGAGAAAGAAAGAAAGAGAGAGAGAAAGAAAGAAAGAAAGAGAAAGAAAGAAAGAAAGAGAAAGAAAGAAAGAAAAGAAAAGAAAAGAAAGAGAAAGGTAAATACGTGAGGTACGGATGTGTTAATTAACCCTATGGGTGAAATCTTTTCACAATGTATCCATACATCAAAACATCATGCTGTACATTTTAAAACATCTTAAAATTTTAACTGTCAATTACCTCAACAAAGCTGGGAAAAGGAGAGGAAGGAAGAAAGGAAAGAAGGAAAGGAGGAAGGAAAGAAGGAGGGAGGGAGGGATTTCTAAATCCCAATTTTTTTTCAGCTTCCTTCTTTATTCCACCTCCTTGTCAATCAATCCAGCCTAATATCAGTTACACATTTGACTTCTTCCTTTCCTTTCTCAGTTTTTTTTGGTTCCATAGTTTTCTTTATATTTCTTCTGCTACATTCTAATTCAGACTCTTCTCATTTGACCTCTAGATTCTTTTACGAGTCTTCTAAATAGTCTCTCTGCCTCTATACTAGTGGCCTCCAAAGTAGCATGTATGCATGCCCAAGGGAGCTCACGAAAAGACCAGAAAGAAGAAATGAAGTTTATGTCATCCTTAAATAATGTTCACAATTTGTTTTTCAACACACATGATATATTAGTAAACTATCATGTACATAAATAAATTCTATTTATAAATAAATAAAAAGTTCATGTATAGAGAAGCATGATTAAAATACATTCTTTATTGATGTGGGACATGATGAAACTAGTTTCAGTATCATTTGTTCTCTCCTCTGTTTATAAACTCCTAATGCACTGGATATTTAAACAAGATCAGCCATCATAAATCATCACCTTAATCTTGCTATCTTCCTGCTCAAAAGCTGTCAGGGAATTCCACTGCCACAGTGAAAGAGTCAAGACTCTGAACTCTGGTATTCCCTCCTGCTCTGGCTCACTTTTTACGCCCACTTTCTAGAGCTCCCTAAACCCCATGCTTTCACATCTGACTCAATTATGAGGTTTGTCGGGCCTGGCATTATGATTTATTCATCATTTTTTTCCTTACAAAGACATCTAGAATACTTTCAACTATTTGCAGAACTAAAGTGTTTTTTCCCAAACACAGATGGTTCATACACTAAATGGTTATGACCAAAATGATATACTGCTTTTTCTATTCTCATATGTGCATCATCTTTCACATTAGATGAGGATCTCCTTGAGAACAAGGATAATGCACTATGGGACAAAGGAGGCAGTTAATAATTGCTATTGAATAAGTAAGTCCATAATCACGAGTCAGCATTTTTAATATATTTTAATAACATCTGAAACATGGAACACTATCTCAGAAAGATCATGAGAAATGGGAAGTGGATTATAAAGAGTTTAATCCAAAAATTAAAGAAACATATATCAGTAAGAGAATGACACTAAAGAATAAAAGGCTTTTTTGAAGCCAAAAAGGTTAGAAGCACCAAGTAAGATGTTTATAGTCACCAACTGGCCCAAAGAAAGTTTAATGATAGGTATATAAAAGAGAAAAAGCTATATAAGTTAAAACTTACAAAGTCATGGATCTTGTACTAAACAATCCAGAAACAAAACCGCTTTCCTTACATAAAGTCACTCATCTGGTTTTAATTTTAAATATAATGTAATGTTTCATTTTATAATACACAGTAAAGATAAAGCAATTCTACAGCTGGGAAACCTGAAAGCATTTTTTCTCGGGTATCTTCACACACGGAATCAACAGCATATGAATAATAATCATTATCCAAGCAAAACATAAACACTGTTAAACAAATGTGATATAATAAAAAGGCAGAAAAAAGTTTGTCCTTTGTTATATCAAATAACTTAGTTTTCACCCTAATATAAAACTACATAGTTGTATTTCACATACTTGAAACCAGAATTGAACTGTAAAAAAAAATTCAGTTTAGAAAGATTCTACGCAAGGTGAATTTTTAAAAATCATCTTGCAGATGAAAAATAAAATATATCTGAATAATGAAAGCTACAGATTAACCCATAAAAATTAACCAAAATCCAGTAATATGCAGTTGTTAAAATAAGAATAGTAGGTTCTTAAGTATAGAAGGGAATACAAGATCTGAAAAAATAATTTATATCTCTTCATTGAGTAAATTCCCTGAGAGCCAAATGGTATTTTCCTACCTTAATAATATTTCCTTTATTTTGTGACATCAAGAGTGATTGATTACCCAATTTTCCCACTTGTCCAGATTTCCAGCGATAACCACTTGACCTTCAATATATATAAACGGAAGACAAAATGTAATTACTAAATACATTTCTCCTTTTAATGAAAACAAATATATTTTCCCTGTTTCAAGAAATGAAATTCAGTCATTAACATGTACCAGACCACCACCAAATGAAAATGAAATATCAATGATGCCATGATATCCTCAGCAATTCTAAAATATAGCTCTACCATATTTGGAGCTTTTGAGAAGAAATGAATAAAAATAAAATGTCCAAACACAGATGAAGAATTTCCTTTTTTAGACATTTATGATGATTAAAGATAGCTTTACTGATTTATAGTAAACTTTACAGATTGTTGTGCAGTTTTAAAAGCTAAGGGTCTACAAATGTAAAGAGGAAAAGGAAGCAAAACAATACCCAAAATATTCGGCAGATCTACTAAGCGATGAATTCCGTATTTAAGACTACAAATCAGGGAGCCTGGGTGGCTCAGTTGGTTAAGCGACTGCCTTCAGTTCAGGTCATGATCCTGGAGTCCCGGGATCGAGTCCCGCATCGGGCTCCCTGCTCAGCGGGGAGTCTGCTTCTCCCTCTGACCCTCTCCCCTCTCATGCTCTCTCTCTCTCTCTCTCAAATAAATAAAATCTTTAAAAAAAAAAAAAAAGACTACAAATCAGCTCCCACATTGAAAGGTAACAGAGATGACAAAGAAGGCAAACTGTTTAATTTCTAGTTTTCAAAGCACTTTTGAGTCTCACAAAATTTTCTGAAGTCAACAGGGTAGAAGTCCAATTCTCACTTAAAAAATAATGAGACAAAAACTTGCCCAAGGTCACACAGACAATAAATAATAAAGTCAAGGTCAGAACATTGGACTTCTTTCTTCCTGACCAGTGAGTGGCAGGTTCTCATTCTGGCTGTGACATTTACTATCTATGTGACCTTAGAAAAACACGTACCTCTTCTGAAAACTCAGTCAAGCTTTAGAACATTTTTAAAAACATCTACAAAAGGTTCCTCAGCTAATGAAAACCCACTCTTGGGGCTGATTTCAGGAACTCTGAGTCACAAATATTTCATGAGCCACTGAGAAGTGCAAACTAAGTTCACTGGATCATTAAAAGAAGAGCAGCAAAATATACAATATACTTTGTCACCTGGGATGACATATGACATTGAGATCCTTGATTAAGTCAATGCTCCGATTATTAGAGAAGGTGTGTATATGTGTCATGAATATTTTTCAAAGAGTCGGACTCTAAAGATAAATACTACTGGAGCTATAGTAAACATCTGAATTTTCTTTAATGGTTCAGAAGGTATCGCTTGGATATTTGATGATATCACTTGGGTATTTGATAAGACCAAACAAAAGCAAAATTTAATATACAAAAAGCCTGGCGATATTTAGTACCAGCCAAAGCACATGAGACATGCAGTTATCCTCTGTAGGAGAAAGTTATACATTTTTGAAGCCTATCTGAAAGACAATTTCTCCAATATCCACCAAAATGTAAACTGCACATACACTTTGACCTAAAATTTCACCCTTTAATATTCTTGCATATGTAAGCAAAAATATACGTAGAAGCATGTTCACAGCAGCACTTATAACTACAATATTGAGAAAATTTAATAAAGATCTGAAAAATACACAAAGAAATATTATGTGGCCATTAAAAGAATGAGATCAATTGCATGCTGATGTGGCAAGAGTGCTAAGATGTATTAAAAAAAAATAATAATAATAGGGTGTGAATCATTTTATAACCTCACTTGTAAAAACATAAAAGACATGTGAGATTGGGGCGCCTGCCTTGGGCTCAGGTCATGATCCCAGGGTCCTGGGATCAAGCCCTGTGTCGGGCTCCCTGCTCAGCGAGAAGCCTGCTTCTCCCTCTCCCACTCCCCCTGCTTGTGTTCCTTCTCTCTCTCTCTCTCTGTCAAATAAATAAATAAAATCTTTAAAAAAAATAAAGACATGTGAGATATACACAAACACACATTCATACACATATATATACATAGGTTTATACAAAGCTGAGATATTTGTGGAGAAAAAAAACTTAATTGTTAAAAACAGAGCTACAAATGGGCTGGGAGTCAGCCTAGAGCTAAGAAGAAATAATTTCTGTTACATAACTATCAGTTGTTTGACTTTTATCATCTACATTTATTATTTTTATAATAAAGGAAAATGCCCAGTAAAATTAGTATAGATACAAAGTCCAATATTACAGAGTACACATTAATAAAATTTCAGCTAAAACACATTTGTCTAAAAATATTTTAAACATACTTGAGGGTTTGAATGGTTCTTACATATGAACATGTAAACTCCTGCCCCCCTCAAAGTCTTTTCATAAGTAAAAATGACCTTAAAAGCAATCTCCTATGGGTGGCATCTTTATGAGAGCAAAGGCCAACTTCTGCATTGCTGTGTTAAACATCCCAGACTTTAATGGTTCAGAAGAGTCATGTAAGAAGAGAAATTAAGAAAGTGTAAGACCAAATAAGGTTCAAAGCAAACAGAAGTAATGGTAATTTTAAAAAGCAACATACCTTATATAAAGGATACAAATAGTAGGAGAAATTTAATACTATTTGTTCATCAGGATAAGCCAGAAATTATTCATTCAGGGCAGATCTTTTTTGGAATGATATATTAATATATGAATTAGTTCTTTACCCAATTCAGTTTACTCCTCTCAAAATCCCTAAAAATGTCACCTACTCTCTTTCTTCCTTTCCTTTGCTCCGAGCTGACTGGAATTCCTGTAGCGTCTTTTCCATCTGTTGGTTCTCCAATTCTAACTGGACCTTCTCCATCCTCAGTTCCTGAGCATTTCTGAGTAAGAGTTAAACATAGAATGTTCATTTGTGGTAAACAAATAACAACAACAAAAAAGGCAAAATAGTTTTATATCATCTTTGGCGTTTAATGAAAATTATGAATAGTGAGTAAGTGATGAAGTATTCTAACTACTTCCTTTGCATTCTGTGAAATATGTTTTCTAAAGTTAGCATTACCTTGCATTAACATTCTCCTTAACGTATATATCTCTTCCAATCTCAGAATTTTGTTTTTCCTATTACAGTACTAAAAGTTTCAAATCATAATTCAATTTCCATATGAACTCTGCCTTTACATATGCACAAATATCTATGCTATACAAATAGAAAGCAGAAGAAAAAATATTTTCTAATTTTTATACTGTCTTTTCTCTAAAGTATTCAAATAGTTTGAAGCATACTGTTTAAAATAACTATTTTTTTCTCTATAGACAGAATACACATTTTTGCTGACCTGATCATCTTAGAAATCTTCAATAAATTTCTACCTCTATGTTGTACAAGCACAATACAAAAAAAAAAAAAAAGCAGAGCCTGTTTGGGGCCTATTAGGGAGAAAGCACCTATTGAGGGTCTCGGTATAGGAGCCATCAAAAGGATTGAATGGGAACTGGGCCAATACCACCTATTGTTTCCTCTGAAGGAAGGCAATAAGAAAATAACTTTTTCTGAGGACAGAGAGGATCCCTCTTATAGATTCTCACACAAGAGATTTTGATGATAATATCTGAAGCTCATCAAACTTTTGACACAAGCCATTTTCTTCATTTTACAGTTCCAGTCTCTTATCAGTATTAGTCACTGACTCCATCTCCCATAGGTCTACACCAACCTAGTTCTCTAGCTTGTATTATCTATCATGAGTTTAAATTTCTTCCTTTATTACTACATTAGTGTTTGTCTATATACAAGTAGTGTGCGTACCCAAGGATTCAATGGCAAGGCATTGAAAAATAAAAATAATGGAGATCAGAAAAGGGAGGTAATTTATAGAAGCAGTCACCAAAGAGCAAGTGGGCCAAAGATACGTGCCCAAGTGGTCACTATCCAGGGAGCTATACGGAAAGTGAAAGGAGGCAGAGGCTGCCAGAGGGTTCTGAGAAGCCGGCAAAGATACCAAGGGGGAGGCACTATTTTCATTACATGTGATCCACAAGGAGTATTTCAGCCCCTAGTACAAACAGGCACAGTGGGGACAGGATATGTGATAGTACGTGATAGGGTATGAGACCCAGTAGAGCTTTCAGTACAGACAGGAACACAGGCATGCCTGAAGGTAACTGAAATACAGTATAGTGGTGCTGTCATTGGAGAAGTACATGCAGGTACCTGAACACACAGAAAGGGCACACAACCAGCCAATGGGCCTGCAAGAGCATTTCGGGGGAAAGAGAAGTCTGAGCTGAGCCCTAAGGGATGAAAGGAAAGTAGTGAAAGCAGCATTCCAGGAAGAAAGAAAAGTGTGGGCACAAGTGGACACGGGTGATGTGTGCGTCAAGGAGCAAGAGGTTCCATGTGACCAGGCATTATGTGCAGGATGGGTAAAGTGGCGAGAAATGGAACCGCTGAGGTGGAGAGTGGCCAGATCATGAAGAGCCATGTAGGCCATGACGAGGATTTGTATTCTATAAGCAATGAGACTCGCCAAAGGACTTTAAGAGAATTGATCAGACTTGCATTTTATTTAGAAAGATCACCCTGACTGCAGAATGGGAAATTAGAGAGTGCAAGGCTGAGGGGCAAGGCAAGGCAGCCGGTTGGGATATTATTTCGGTAATCCTAATAATAGAGAGATGATGCTGGTCCTACTGGATAGAGACAGTAGAGAGAAAAATGGGAGCATTTGAAAAATATAAGAAAATAAAATTAACTGGACTTGGAGACTGACCAGAAGTAGGCAACTCACAGGGAAGGGACAAGGAAGGAATCTAAGGTAATCCTAGGTTTCTTACTTGGGCAACCAGAAGGATAATGATGCCTAGATCACTTTGGGATGGGATGGGGACACAGTTCAGGACTGATACCTGAGCTGGTCTCCCTGCCCAAAGTCTCAATGGCCCACAACACTTTTCACATGGCTTCCAGAGGAAGAGTTCAAGAGTACAAACGTGATTGTGTTACTCACTTGCTTAGAAAACTTTTAATGTTTCTGAAGACCCCACTGTGGTAGAGGAAAGGGATGAGACTGAAAAAAAAAAAAAGACTGGCTTACTGACCAAGTGGTCAAGTTGATGGGATGCTATGGGTGTGAAACACGACAAGGGATCCTCCTGGAGACAGCCTCAGACACAGAGCCGGGGGGCAGGCAGGGCCACTGAGGAAAACTAGGGTTGATCCTGCAGAGACCAGGTCAACCCAACAAAACCAAGGGCCAGAAACAACCTGCTGAAATGAGTTGTAAGCTGAGAAAGAGGAAGACAAACGTTGGAGAACACCAATACGTCAGACAAGGTTAAGATAATCATTAAGACAGTATCAAATGAAAATAGGGGGACAAGGGTAATAAGGAAAGGGGAAAAAGGGAACTCCAGAGCAATTACCACAGACTGGTTGTTCCTGTCCTAGCTTTTGTAAGTTATTGATCATGGGTGGATCAGGGAGACCTGCAGGCCATAAAACAGTGATCCCCACCTTACCTCCAAAATAAATTCCGAACTCCTTAGTGTGGCATACAAGTTAATTTACTATCTATACAACCCTACCCTTCTCTCCAACTTTGTTCTATAAATCTCTGTTCCACAAAACACTGGATATGTCTGAAAGTTCCCAAACTATGTGGTCTCTGTGCCTTTGCACAAGTTTCCCCCAGTAACTACCCAACTAACTGCATCATTCAGGTGAAGCTTGGAGACCTCCTCTTACCTGACCCAGTAGTTTGGGCCATGTTCTCATAGCCCCCTGTGCTTTCTCATCACACCATGCTTCACACTATCTCGTAAATGTGATTTTATCTATTCATGTCCTCCACAAACTACCTTAGAGCAAAGATTGTGTCTTCTTACTTTCATAACCACCATTCCCTAGCATAGTGTGTAAAACATGTGCATTTAATAAATGTTTGGATAAATGGTTTATAGGTATATAAACACAGACAGGAAACATATGGCCAAAAATCAAATTTTGTATGCCCCTTTTTCTTTTTACACAAAAAAAACAAAATTGGTAATAGTAGCAATTGGATAGCTCCTCTCCCACCAAAAAATGGTAAAATAAATACAGCTGATTGTGAACAACAGGGGTTTGAACTGCATGAGTCCACTTACAAATTTTTTTTGATAAATACAGTACAGTATTGTTGTTTTTTCCTTATGATTTTCTTAATAACATTTTCTTTTTCCTAGCTTAGTTTATTGAAAGAATACAGTATATAATACATGCAACATACAAAATTGTTATTTGAGAGTTTATGTTACCCATAAGGCTTCCGGTCAAGAGTAGGCTACTAGCAGTTAAGTTTTGGGGATGTCAAAAGTTATACATGGATTTTTGACTGTGCTAGGGGGTCAGTGCCCCTAACCCTCATGTTGGTCAAGGGTCAACTGTGCTGAGAATGCCATATATTTGTGTAACATTTTCCAGTTTACACATGCTCTTACACACAATATCTCAAAAGTGAAGGAAGAATTAGGAAGGCTCTGAAGACACTGCAGGACTACTGATCTGATTCAGGGAACTCAAAGCTCAAATTAAAAGTTGACAGCCCGTCCCTAATCCAAACCAGGTGGATTTTAATGATACTCGAGAGAAAGGCCTTGGGAATTTCCAGTGACCCTAGATGACCTCAAAGGGAAAGAGTGTATTGACACTTCCAGTACTCCTGCCATGTCATGAAATTCCCAGGATACCCAGAATGGCTTGGTTCTAGCTGAATGCATCCACAAGGCAATCCAGGACAGAAGGTACCCCTCCTGGGAAAGGTGAACTTAACATACTGTCCCTTAGTAGGCAAAGGGCTGGGCTAGGTAGCACCTTCTATTCTCTGTTTAAAGATCTCTGGGCCCAATAGTCTCCCAAAATTTCAGTGCCTTTCAGTTTCTTCAGGGTGATTCCTTTTAATTCTGAACAAGTGTCACAAACTATTAGTAACTTTGTTAGATTGCTTTAATAGTCAATAAACCCAAATTTTACTTATAACTTTTCACCTCAATTTTGTGGCATAAGTAATTTTAGTCCTCATTTTAAAAACTATTGTGGATTTATTATATATCCAACCTACTCTCTTATAGATAAAAATACACCAAAGTAAAGAAAATGGAGATAAGAACTCATAAATTTAAGCTCAAGTCTAAACTGTCTCATATAAAAAGAATACTTTAAATTACAACATACAGAAATTTTAACAATTATTCCTATTTAAGTAATAAATATACATTCACTTACTTGTATTTCAGCTTTACAGAATTTCCAGGTTTTCCCCATGGAAGAACTACAAAATCTTTGGTGTTCATGATCACTGTCTTTTTTTTTCCACTGTCTTAATATTATATAAAAATCATTGTGATTTGCAACAACTTCTGAAAAAGTAACAGACACAAAAGAATTATGCCAGAGTAAAGCAGGTAAATTACAAATTCAAAACTGCATATAGTTCCGACAAGTTTTAAAAACAGAAATCATTATGAGGGAAAAAGCTGAATTAAAGGTTAAACAATAAATATATATGTGCTAAATATAAATTTTATAAATATTTATATACTAATAAAGTTATAAATACAGCATATCTGATGGAACTAAAATTTTACCAATAATTATATAGCAAAAGACTATGGAAATAGTCAATTGAAAGTGAAGAATGCACTCATTGAGACAGAGAACATATTACGGCTCCTTCTATGGTAAAGACTATCAAAATATCTATCAGGTTTTGTTCCCATCCAAAAATAATATCCATGGCTAAATATAGGAAAAGAAAAGGACTTTCAAGATACAATCCAAACTCAAAACCTTTTTTTGTACATATATGGTAATGAAAATGAGAATTAAGGTATGTAATAATTAACCAAAGGCATTCTAATATCCTCATTCATCAAAGAAAATTTTAATGATGCTCTTTTCCTAAGATCAGAAATTAGCATATTTAGAAAGAATTTCTTAACAAGAAGTGAAACAAAAAAGCTTTTCTGCCCAACTCCTAGTTAACCAGAAAATTAAATTATTCAGAACACCCTATTTCCTGAGTATCCCAATTATTCATGGTTCTATAATAATTTACTCTGTAATGCTGAATTAGTGAATCACATGCACAACTATTAGATTTTTATACCAATAAAAATTTCAAATTCTGAATGCTCTTAAAGAAATATGAGGCATTACCATAGAGTCCATAGTCTTTTTTTTTTAAAGATTTTATTTTATTATTTATTTGAGAGAGAGAGAATGAGATAGAGAGAGAGCACGAGAGGGAAAAGGGTCAGAGGGAGAAGCAGACTCCCCACTGAGCAGGGAGCCTGATGCGGGACTCGATCCCGGGACTCCAGGATCATGACCGGAGCCAAAGGCAGTTGCTTAACCAACTGAGCCACCCAGGCGCCCAGAGTCCATAGTCTTAAATGGCCAAACCATTTGATATTGTTGGTTTATATATGTGTTCCTATGTACTCACAACCACCATAAATATTTAAGTCTCTGCTATATGCAGAGCACTGTGCTGAGAGGCATGAAGGAATCAAGGCCCAGGGAGATTTATTTTCTGGCTCAATGGCAGAGTCAAAAAGGGCATATCAAACCTATATATAAAAGCCATAAAACAGGATAGAAATTATAAAAGCCATAAAAATAGATGTAATAATATAAGCAGTGAAAGAAAGGAGAAAATTCGAGCTGGCTAGCATTTAAAGGGGGGTTTTCAGGAGAAGGGGGGCTTATATAAGAAGATACAGGGGGCACTGGGGTGGCTCAGTTGGTTAAGCATCTGACTCTTGATTTCAGCTCAGGTCATGATCTCAGAGTTGTGAGATCGAGC